TTTTTTAAACAGAGAAAACACACTCCTTGGGGAAAGGTGAAGGATGGAAAAGACAGGCCCTGGGTAGAAGTTATTATGACAGCACCTGGAGTTTGATAGGCCTGCCTAGGAGAGAACACAGGCACCGCCACACCACCACAGGGGACAGCTACTGTCTGAGGCTCAGCAGACCAGTTCACACGCCACGCAAAGCTGCTATAGATCCAAGTCATAAAAATCTTCCAGCTCATCATGAAACAAGTCCCACTCGTCTTCAGAGTCTGTCAATTCGTCGTCCCCACCTGCAGCCAAAAGCATAAGCAACATCTCGCCCAGCTCAAAGGTGACAACCTCTTCTTCATCGTTGTCAAAGGGGTTGCTGCTTTCTCTTTCCTCAATGAACTCCCAGAAGTGGTTCCTTCGTTGGGCCTGTAAAAAACAAGGCCATGATAGGGATGGCACTGCCGAGTAGTATCTTCTATCCTGTTGTTTCTAAGGCAAAACGTCCAGCACACCAGAGGGCATGACGAACCAGACTTCTTATTTAGGGTTTCCATTTTACCAATTCCTCCCCTCTGGTTACTTGATGTAAATAGTTTAGTCTAGAGCTTTAAGTGCTCTATTTCTTCCTTCTCTATCCCTCCCAGTTTTTTGAGGTTTGTTTCCTACTTTAATACTTTAGTATTGTTCCCAGACCTGAGTGTTAATCTTCTCCTTCCCCTACCCCCATATGTGCAGGACTCAACTGATATTGTGGTATTTCCCCTCCTTTAAAAAAACAGTGAGAGTTACCCGGTATCTGCTTGATGTTCCCACTTTCTGTCTCTGTGGCTCCTCTCTACGGCCATCAGGGTACGCATGCTTGTAAAAACAGTTCCCTCCAAATGGGCAGCTCCCACGTCCTTCATCAAAATACCTGCACGCCTTGTTGCTGGAAAGGAAAATATCGCAACCCTTATTCAAAGTGGATTTCAGGTCTATATTTGATTATCATCCAGGGTTACTTTAAACAGGTAGGGGTAGAACCAGTATGTCTGTTTACAGCCCTCCCCAAGGTGTGTTCTTATAAACATGTGTGTGCTAATGCATGGAACACTAACTAGACAGACACTCTGTTCAAGTCTCTGCTGTTTAACAGCTCTAGTACCACAGATCCAGTAGAAAGAAAATCTTCTAGAAAGCCAACATACAAGAATTAATACAGGACAACTACTACATGGATTCAGAATAAGGTAGAACCCCATTCATG